CAGTCGGTGCTCTTAACCTCTGAGCCATCTCTCCAGCCCTTTTTTTTTTTTTTTTTTTTTTTTTTTTTTGAGATTTATTTATTTATTATGTATACAACATTCTGCCTCCATGTATGCCTGCAGGCCAGAAGAGGGCGCCAGATCTCATTACAGATGGTTGTGAGCCACCTTGTGGTTGCTGGGAATTGAACTCAGGACCTCTGGAAGAACAACCAGTGTTCTTAACCTCTGAGCCATCTCTCCAGCCCTCAATGACCAATCTTAAGCCCTCTGATGTCTTTCATCCTTTCTGTCTCAAACCCTTCGTACACACACCATTCCTTTTCCCTTTTCCCTAGTTTCCGTGGCAAGCCTTCATCAAGTCACTAAAGGTCCTTGGAGAACTTTCCCCATGGCCTGACAACCCCTGTTCCCTCATAGCATGGATCGTGGCCATGCTGAAACAGCCATTTCCGTGGTTCCTTTCTTCCTGTCCACGTCTTTGACTAGACCACCAGAAGCCAGGGATGGGCCAGCCTCCTCTAACATCGCTGCTCTCGCATCCCGTGAAACATTGGCTCAGTTCAAGCAACTGTTCGCTCCAAACGACTACACAAGCTGACCCAAAATCTTGCCTGGGAAATGGTGGGACTGAGGCTATACCTCAGATCTGGCTGAGTCCATAACCCTCTGGTCCCTGCTTGCCATCTCCCCTTCAGCTGAGAGAAGGTCATTTGCAAAGGAGGTTGGGCTCTGGCAGGAAGAACTCCCAAAGCTTCCTTTCTGGGCAGGAAGTGGGGGGAGAGGAGGCAAACATCCCGCGAGGACTCCACACATCTCGGGCTAAGCAGCGTCGGGCACCAGAGTAAGGGGACTGCTGAACCCTCTGCTGCGCCGAGAACGTCAGGAGAGCTCATGTGCCCCAGGTCACATGGTAAGGAACTGGCCAGCCTGTTACAGTGCAGGCCTGCCTACTCCAGGCAAATGGAGGCACCCACTGCAATGGGAAGCTGGCTGCCAGGCGAAGAAAAACCTCAGACTCTGCTGGAAATGACAAGCACACAGGAGGTCGAGGCTGAAAGGTCCTCGGAGACCTTTCAGGTTCCACGCTTCTCAGGGTGCATGCCAGGGCACCCGGGCTTATGTGTGACCGCAGCTTGGTGTCTGCCCACATCGACTACAGTGAGCAAATGACTCCTCTTTCACCCCAGCACCTGAGGAAACACGTCTCTGGTGGGCGCCAGCCATCTTTAGTGCCTCTCGTACCTGCCAAGGAAGCTCTTCCTCAAAGGTGGAGATTTAAAGGCGGTGCCTTTGACAGACAACCATCTATTGACTGTTCTCTTTTAATAGTTTTTCATAGTTTTGGTTTGCTTTGTGTTTTGAGACAGGGTCTCACTCTGCAGCCCAGGCTTGCCTGGAATTCACTATGTAGCTCAAGCTGATCAAACTGTGCAAACCCTCCCACATCAGCCTCCAATCACTGGGATTAAAGGCAAGCATCTTCACACCTGGCCTTTCTTCTTTTAGTTTTAACCCTGCCCCCCCCAAAAAGCTTTATTGCATTATAATTGAGAAGTCATAATCATATGGTGGCACTATGCCTTTAATCTCAGCACTTGGGAAGCAGAGGCATGTGACTGTGAGTTTGGGGCTAGCCTGGTCTACACAGTGAGTTTCAGAGCTAACCAGGGCAACATAGGGTAACCTTGTCTCAAAACAAAAGAACAGCAAATCAAAGCATAAATTAGATGAGCCTACAGTTAAAAAATAAAAATCACAGAAGTATGGGGCTGGTAATATGGCTCACTGGGTAACAGCACTTACCTCTTAAATCTCATGGCCTGAGTTCAATCCCAGGGACCCACATGGTAAAAGGAAAGAAATGACTCCCACAAATTGTCCTCTGATCTCTACAAGTGCATCACGGCATGTGTGTAACCTTACACACACATACATGAGTTAATAAATATAATTTAAAAAATTGTTAAAGCCAGGTGATGGTGGCACAGGCCTGTAATCCCAGCACTTAGAGGCAGAGTCAGGCGGATCTCTGTAAATCTGAGACCAGCCTGGTCTACAGAGAGAGTTCCAGGACAGCCCGGGCTACACAAAGAAACCCTGTCTCAAAACAAACAAACAAACAAACAAAAAAACTTTAAATAAGCCATATGCTTTTAATCCCAGTTCTCAGGAATCAGGGATCTCTGAGTTCAAGGACAGCCTGGTCTGGTCTACATAGCAAGTTCCAAGACAACCAGCACTACATAATAATGAGATTTTATCTCAAAAAGGGGGGGGGGGGCGGGCAGGCAGAGTCAGGCAGATCTGTGAGCTTGAGGCCAGCCTAGTATACATAGTGAGTTCCAGAACAGCCAAGGTTACACAGTAAGATTCTGTCTCAAAAAAATTAATTAGGGGCTGGAGAGATGGCTCAGCAGTTAAGAGTACTGGCTTCTCTTCCAGAGGTTCTGAGTTCAATTCCCAGCACCCACATGATGGCTCACACCATCAATAATGGAATCTGGTGTCTCTTTGGTCATGCAGGCATCCAGGCAAACAAAGTACTCATATACATAAATACATAAATAAACATAGAATCTCTGAAAAGTGGACAAGGTGTAGGAACATTAACACAGCACAAGCACCACACAGCTCAGAGGAAGCATTCTCCTTCAACTGCAAGTTCACAGCCCAGCCCATCACTGACTCCACATTCCACACCACCTACCACCAAAGAACACCAGCCTACCTGGTGTCCTGCTCCATGGAGCTCCCCAGGGTGACAGCAGCTCAGACAGTGGCTCTTGGGAGAGACGATGGCTTCAAAATGGACACCTGGGACATTCATAGCCACGTCCTCCATAGCAGGTGAGTCACACCAGGCACTTCCTGTGACCCAGTGGCTGGCTCTCTAGGTGGGGCCTGGCAAGGATTCGGGAACAAGAATCTGATAACTGGTGGGCCATTATGTAGACCCTAGCCCTGATTTGTCCAAGCCAGACAAAGCTGTCTACCCATTTTTCTGTTCATGTATTCAACAACAGTATCAACAACTGAGTTTCCCAACATATTGGCAAGCATTTATATGTGATTTCTAATCCTTACTATATATTGTTGGTCATTGTTCCAAGGACCCTGAATTACACTCTCTTTGTGCTGCTCATAAAAATGCAAGTTTCTGCCGGGCGATGGGGTGCATGCCTTTAAAACCAGCACTTGGGAGGCAGAGCCAGGCGAATCTCTGTGAGTTCGAGGCCAGCCTGGTCTACAAAGTGAGTTCCAGTACAGCCAGGGCTACACAGAGAAACTCTGTTTGGAAAAACAAACAAACACAAACAAATCAATAATAAAGGTAAGTTTTGGGGCTAGAGAGATGGCTCAGGGGTTAAGAGCACTGACTGTTCTTCCAAAGGTCCTAAGTTCAATTCCCAGCATCCACATGGTGGCTCACAGCCATCTATAATGATGCCCTCTTCTAGCCTGCAGGGACACATGCAGGCAGAACACTGTATACCTATAAATGAATAAGAATAAAATAAATAAATAAATAAATAAATAAATAAAGTCAGGTTTCCAGTCATAGGTGGTGATGTGCACCCCTGATCCCAGCTACTCAGAACAGTGAGTCAGGGGGATCTGTGAGTATCCAACTTTGGGATCAGTGTAGTCAACATATACAGTCTCCATCTCTTGAAAAAAAACAAAAACAATAACAACAGTAAAAAAACAACAACAAAGAGCTGCCAACAAACATGAGGACCTGTGTCTGAATGCCCAGAACCCAAACCCAAGCATGGTGTCATGTGTTAGGGAGGTGTGTGTGGAGGGGGTCCCTGGTGCTCACTGGCCAGCCAGTCTAGCTGAATCATCCAGCTCCAGGCTCAGTGAGACCTTGTCTCCAAAAATAAGGTAGACAGTGACTAAAAGAGAAACCCAGCATTGCCTGTCAAGCGGTGGTGGCGCACGCCATTAATTTCAGCACTCAGGAGGCAGAGGCAGGTAATCCTTCGAATTCGAGGCCATCCTGGTCTATAGATCGAGTTCCAGGGCATCTAGGGCTATACAGAGAAACCCTGCATTGAAAAACCAAAAAAAAAAAAAAAAAAAAAGAAAGAAAGAAAGAAGATATCCTCTTTCCTCCACATGTACCCACACCATATGTACACGCACACAAACATATAGACACATACACACACACACACACACCAAATAAAGAAGCCAGCAACAAAACCCCCGTAATTCTGTTTCCTCTGCTGGAGTACACCATAAAAGAGAGTCCCCTAGCTAGTCCCAAAGTGTCTAGCTTTCTAAACCTACAGCTCCCCTCTTACTCAGCTAAAGTTAACACAATTCCAGAGGAGGCAATCAAGGCTCAGAGAGGTTCCCTGACACACAGTGGCACCGGAGCCAGCTGGAGGCTCTTGGTCTGTCCTACAGCTCAGGGTGGACATGAGGGTGCTGGATCCCGCTGCCAAGCCACCCAGGTCCCTTGGCAAACGGAGTTATGCAAAGGGCTGGCCAGGTATTTTCAGACTTGAGGACAAATCTTAGACAAATGTGAACAGCCACCTAAGGTCACAAAGCTCATATGTGACTGAGCTTAGCCCAAAAGGCACCACTGGTGTCCCCCATCCCACCCCCCATCCCCACCCCAGTTCTGAAGATCAAACCCAAGTCCTAGAAGGTGTTAGACAACCACTCTAAGGCTCAGCTACACCTCCATCCTAGCTAGGGGTCATGAGCCAAGTCCAGTCTCCTCCTTGTTCTGGAGGCTACAATGTCCACACCCTAGAAGGGACTCCGGGTCAGGAGACTGAGGTCCTCTCACTTATCCACAACTTGGAAGGATATTGATAGGGGTGGTATCCAGCATCCCCCAAAGCCCAAGTACCTCAGGGCACCACGGGGTCACCTCATACCGGACCTACTTGGTGACACAGAGCTCCGGGGGAGCAAACCTTTGTTGTCAATCTCAGCTGAGCTGAGGAATTTCGGGGCCTCCCCCTGGGGCTCCAGGTCGTTCCCTTGGAGAGTGGAACCCCCACAGGAGGATCCACGGAGCTTGGGTTCCTCCCTGGGCGACCATCTCCCTTCCCTACTTAGTCCCGGTTCTAATATGGTGGATGGATGAACTTGCCCCACCAACCTGGGCTGCTCTTTCCTGGTCCAGCCACCAAGAGGAGCATCGTCTTGGGTGGAGAACGTGGCTCCTTTTCCAGGGGGCGAGACAAGGACTGTTCATGTGCTCCTGTGACTCCAGTTTCCTCCACGACCCCAACCAACCGGCAGAAATCTTCCCTAAAATACACCTTAGATGGTAAGGATGCAACTACAAAAAGCCTTCGCGCATCTGCACACCCCGCCCCGAGAATGGACCCTTGGTCCCCACTTCCTGCAGCCGGTCCTCCAGTTCCTCGGGGTCCCTCAGCCTCCCCATCCCTGGTCTCCCTTTCTGGCCCAGGCAGTTCCACTAGCCGCGGGGTTCTGACCTAGGCTCAGGTTTCCACTCACCGGGCGATGGAGGTGCTCGTGCCAGGGTCTCAGTCTCTATTTTAACAATGAATCAAAACGCTGCCCGGGAGGTGCGCGTGAGACCACGCCCCTGCCGCGCTCCAATAGGCTCGCCCTCAGAGCTTCATTTGCATAATCAGCTTGCGATTGGACCCAGCGAGGACTAGGGGCGGGGCAGAGGCGGGCGGTGCCCAGGCGCCTTGGAGCGCGGGATGCACAGCAGCACGTTTCGCCTGGGCTACCCGCAGCCTGGTCCAGCCCTGTCCCCAGGGGCCCTGAGTGCTGAAGCTGGCCCAGTGGCCTCTAGTCTCTTTCCCGTTGGTTCGTTCTGGCCAAGGTCTTCAAAAGGCACTAATGCATACGTGGGAAGTACAAAGTGTGTCTAGCCTGGTGTGGGGGCACATGTCACTTGTCATCTAGCGCTTGAAAATTTGAAGCAGGAGAATGGACTGCCCACAATTCGATCGGCCTGGCTGCAAGAGTGAGACACTCCCAGAATGCAAAACCAAAAGGCTGGTGACGTACATCTGTGAGCACAGCAATTGGGAGGTGGGGACAGTAGAAGCAGTGATCTGGAAGTGAAGGCAAGAAGGCCAGGTGGTGGTGGCACACGACTTTAATCCCAGCACTTGGGGAGGCAGAAGCAGGCAGATCTCTGTGAGTTCAAGGCCAGCTGGTCTACAGAGTGAGTTCCAGGACAGGCAGGGCTACACAGAGAAACCCTGTCTAAAAAACAACCAAAAAAAGAAAGAAAGAAACAAAAAGAAAAAGAATAGATAAGGAGGTCAAGGCCAGATTTGGCTACAGAATCAGTTCCAGGCCTGCCTGACATGAGACCCTGTCAAACAAAAGCAAAAAACGGAAACCAACCAACCAAATGAATTGTTCAGGCAGAACAGTTCCAGACAGCTAGTAAATATGAATGGAACCCAGTACCAACATCACATCACTCTGGATAATGTAGTCAGGGTCTCAGGGACCACAGAGCATCCAAGCTCAGGGATCTCCACCTCCATTTGAACATGAACCTGGGCTCACGCACAAAATGTACAGCACCACCCCAACTTTTCAAGTTAAGTTCTATTGTGCACCGGTTACACACCAGCTCCTAAGCCAGGCCTTTACACACAGCAACAAAGATGAGAGATGTCAACTGACTTGTCAGGGTTGCCCAGTTAATAAAGGGCAGAATCAGGACCAATATCTTGGGATGTCTGACTCCACAGGCCACTGTGAAGCATCCCCGTTTGCTAATTCTCTCTTTCACCTGTGTCCAGTGAAGCGCTCAGAAAAGAAAGCATGAATAAAATGTGGCCTCTTCCCATGTGAGGGCAGAAACGAGGCCCCGAACAAGCCATCCTGGCCCAGCATTGATCTGGCTAACAAGCTGGCTTCCTCCATGGCCTGGCTAACTGTGTAAGACAGGGTCTAGGGAGACCTGGGTTCAGAGTCAGCCTCTAGTACTTCTTAGCTGGGTGATCTTGAGACAGTTTCTTGACCTCTCTGAGCCTGGGGTAGAATGGATATTTCATCTGAGTTGGAACTGAGCATGACCCCAGCCTTCTGCCCCTACCAGGCAATTCAACCTAGTGCCGACTGAGGGTGGCCCGCCTGACAACCCAGTTCATGAAATATTTATGGAGTCCTTTGTCAGTCATGTTTGCTGAGAGTTCATCACGGAACAAGAGACCCGTGCGCCGCTTTTGTGTGTTTGTATGGTGGAGGAAAACAGATCCAGGCAAGAGAGAAATAAGCAAAGCATGGCTGAACCGGCCGGTGCTTAGGAGAAAAGGGAGCAGAGCGGAGTGGCATGTGGGGGCTGGGCAGTGTGTTTCCAAGGGGGTCATCAGGGAGGTCTTAGAGACGTGGCTCGTGCATCTAAGCAAAGACCCAGGAGTGAGCCTGTGGGTCTGGACAGGTCACAGGCTGAAGGATGGCCGGACCTGGAGTAGAAAGCAGGAGAGGGGACTAGGTGGGTGCCGTGAGTGAGTACTCACCTTAGCTTTGGAATGTTTGCCCAAGAGGCTGACAGAAGGCAGGGAGCAAAGGGAACTATGGGAAGAGGCCCCTCTTGTGGGGATGGGTGAGGAGGACGGCGGAGCCCAGAGAGTTCTTAGCAGTCCAGGAGATGAAGCCACCCCCTCACCCCCACATGGCCACGTTTGTGCTCTCCCAGGCTGCCTGGGAACCAGGAACCACACAGCCCTCCCGGTCCTCATCTACAGTGGATTTCAGGACAGCCAGGGCTGCAGAGAAACCGTTTTGAGAAAACATAAAATAATGATAATAATTATAATAATAATTTAAAAGATGGCAAGAATTTGTCTCAGAGGATAGTCTTGTGCATCCATTGGTTCTTTCCTTCCACTGGTATGTTGGTTCTGGGGATCAAACTCAGGTTTTCAGACTTAAGTCTGATGTGGTGGTTAGTTTTAATTATCATCTTTGCACACTCTGCAACCATGTGTAAAGTCTCAGTGAAGAGCTGCCTAGGTCAGGAGAGCCTGTGGACATGTCTGTGGGGGGTTGTCTTGATCACTGTTGCCTTGGAAAGACTCACTCACTGTGGGCAGCACCATTCCCTAGACAGAGGATCCTGAACTGCAGAAATGGAGGGAGGGAGCCGAGCACGAATAGCATCAATGGATTTATTCTCTCTGCTCTTGTCTGGGTGTGATGTGATTGGCTGCTTCCAGTCCCTGCCTTGACTTCCCTGCAATGGACTGTAATCTGGAATTGTGTGCTAAAATAAGCCCTTTCTCCTGTAAGTTGCTTTTTGTTTGTTTAATTTTTTTTAAGCCTCTGAAGTGACTGGGCTTCCTGGGTTGAGATGCTAGTATCTTAATCACTTGGGGCATCTTTTTTTAATGATTTATTCTTATTTTATATGCATCGGTGTTTTGCCTGCATGTATGTCTGTGTGAGGGTGTTGGATCCCCTGGAACTGGAGTTACAGGCAGTTATGAGCTGCCATGTGGGTGCTGGGAATCGAACCCAGGTACTCTAGAAGAGCAGCCAGTGCTCTTAACTGCTGAGCCATCTCTGCAGCCCCTAGTCAGGGTGTTTTATCACAGCAACAAATGAAACTAAGACGCATCTACCTATGTTATCACTTCACTGGGCCTCTGCTCCACACCTTTGCTGGGGCCATGGCCCTGACTGAGACACCCCCCACCTTAGAGATCTGGAGAATGCCATGTCTCCTGCTCTAGCCCAGGACCTGTGTCTTCACTTGGCAAGGGCAAGAAGCACCCAGCCCTTTCTCCCACGGGCAATGGAGCGTTCAGAGCCTGGGTGAGCAAGGTGGAGGCCTATCTGGCAGAGCAGAGCAGGATGGATGACCTTTACTGGGGTCATCAAAGCTAGCTGCAGCCAGGGCTGACCTGGGATGACATCACATAGCCAGGCTTGTTTTCACCTGTTTACTTGCCTAGGAAAACACAGAGTTAAAATTAGTAAACATTGGCTTCAGCTCACAGTTCAGGGGGACCCATTCCAAGGCCTGGTGGCAAAATCAGACTGTGGTGGTGGACGGTTGCTTACATCTGGGGAAACGCAGGTGTTGTGTAGTATGAGTTCTAATTGGTCTTAAGAATAAAAACCCGGAGTCAGATATCACTGTAAATGCTGAAAGATCAGAAAGACAAAGGAGCAGCCACAGCCACCTCTTACCTGGCCAACTCCTCAGGCTGAAGTGGGGGGAGCTCCTGTCTCTGCCCACCTTACATTCCTCTTCTAGCCATATCACTTCCTGTTCCTCCTCCCCAGTGCTGGGATTAAAGGTGTGCCACCACGGTCTGGCCTCTATGGTTAACTAGTGGCCAGCTCTGCACTCTGATCTCCAGGCAAGCTTTATTTGTCCAAGCACAAAGTATCACCACAGTCTTGCTATGAAGTCAAGGTGGCTTTCAACACTGTGACTAAAGCCACTCTAAGCTTGAGGCCTCTTCTGTGCCGTCTCTGAAACGGTGAATCACAACAGATCTTTTTTTAAAACAACTTGTTGATCTTTATTTTATGTGCATTGATGTATGTCTGTGTGAGGATAGCAGATCTTAGAGTTACAGACAGTTGTGAGCTGCCATGTGGGTACTGGGAATTGAACCCAGGTCCTCTGGTAGAGCAGTTGTGCTCTTAACCACTGAGCCATCTCTCCAGCCCCGAATCACAGCAGATCTTCACTGACTTGTAATGGCTCAAATCCCATTCCTCCCAGGAAGGCCTCTGCCACCCCAACCTGGAGCAAGAGCTTCTCAGCTGAGATCCTGGAGGTGAGGCCCCAAACCCTGGCCTTTGTCTCTTTGGGTACGGCCAGCCAGCTTGGTGAGCTTGGTCCCTGCCATTGAGGTTAGAGTTGCCATCTCTCCTCGGTTCCCTCCTGGGAGTCCCCACCACATGCTCCTGGCACTTGAGCTGCCTTGCTCACCATTAATCTGCAGTGGCCTGAACCTGCAGGGGAAGCCCTCCAGCCTCTCCGTTTGTCCCGAGTTGGTTTGGCTCTGCCTGCACACACCCTCACCGCCACCAGGGGGCGCCTCTAAAACAAAGCACTGACCCTGACTCCATTCTGCCTGGGCAAGAACTTCCTTCCTCTCCCGACCCGACCCACCATCCCTTACTCTCCAGGGACCTTGAATCACACACCACCCTCTCCTGTCACCCAGCTCAGGAAGAGCCTTGATGTAGTCACATCAAGGAGGTCTCTGATCAGAAGCCTTCTCAAAGCCCTTGTCCTGCTCTGGAGTGCCTGGGCCGGCTGCCTTCCCTGGACGGAGTCACTGCCCATTGCTGTCCCAGCACAGGGCCAGCTGGGAGCCATTGGCTCTGTGCCACTGAGGGCCTCTCTACAGCTCTTCCTGGGGAAAAGCCTGCTAGCTGCATCCCAATCCTCCTTCCCTGTTAGCAGATCAACCGCTAGTTGTCTGGGCGAATGCCTTCCCAGCATGGCCAGGGTTGAAGTTTCTCGGCAGGGAGCACCCTTGGCCTTTTATGGCTAACAGAACACAGCCAGTGTGTAGATTTTTTTAAAGGATGATTATGTCCTTCCTCTTCTCTGCTAGCTGAAAGGCAGGTATGATAGCTCAAGCAGCTATCTTAGGCTGTGTGGCAAAGTTGTCCAAAAAAAATAAATAAATAAAAAAATAAAAAGGCATAAAAGATCTGAAAGCCAGCTGCCACCCCAGCTTCCAGCCTTCCCAGCTCCAGGCTGGTAACCTTCTTGTCAGCCTGAGAGCCCTTACTGCACCACCCAGTTGTGAACTTTTGATGTACGGAGCTGCTGCCCAAGCTGGCCTAGAACGTGGGGTCTCCTACGTAGGGCTCGAGCTGCTGGGACTGCAAACATGTGCACATACGTCCGAGTACCTTTACCACTCCTTTTCTCCTTCTTGAGGCTGGCTCTCTGTAGCCCTGTCTGGACTAGAACTCACAGCAAAGCAATCCTTCTCCTCTGCTTCCCAGTGCTAGGACTAAAGGAGTATGTCACCATCCTCAATTCACCTCACTGCAGTTGACGAAGTCCCTACAGACCAAACTCTGCCCAGGATGGAGACACGGGGAAGGAGTCCAAGCTGAGAGACAGAAAGGAGAGAGAATATGTAGGGGGGGTACCTGTATAAATGGGTATATCCTGAGAGGAGACACATTTTCCAGGTGTGTGTGTGTGTGTGTGTGTGTGTGTGTGTGTGTGTGTGTAGGGGGTGTTCTGTGTATGCGGGTATATCCTGAGAGAAGACACAAGTTTTCCAAGGGGTTCTGACTCTATCCCCCAATCTGAGGACTGGCCAAACTTTGGACTCAATTTCCTTGGTCAGCTAGAAAAACCAATGGCACACAGGAAAAGAAATGTATGGCATTTCACTTCTTGTGAATTGCCAATGTACACTGGCAACGACCTCACATCACCAGGGAAAGGGATTGGAGGCAGACGAGATGGGGACATGCTGTGAGCCATGAGGTGACCCTGGAGTACAGAGCATCCTACACTCCTCACACTCCAGCCTCAGGGGGGCCCTGCAGGAGGCTCACACGGTAGGGTATCACTGCTTGAGGCTCACACAGGGACCAAATCCCCGAGTCTCCTGGCTTGCTGTCCTGCTCAGTGGTCCAGAGGGTGAGGCCCAGGCCTACCTGAGACAGGTAAACAGGCAGAGGCACCGCTCCCAAAGCAGAGAGGGCACGGAAGGAGGGAAGGGGCCGAGGCCAGGCCAAGCCAGCCCCAGGGAAGGCCCCGAGCTAAGCTTCCTTTTTTTTTTTTTTTTTTTTGGTTTTTTTTTTTGGTTTTTCGAGACAGGGTTTCTCTGCGTAGCTTTGCGCCTTTCCTGGAGCTCACTTGGTAGCCCAGGCTGGCCCCGAACTCACAGAGATCTGCCTGGCTCTGCCTCCCGAGTACTGGGATTAAAGGCGTGCGCCACCACCACCTGGCTTTAAGCTTCCCATCCTTGAATGGGACGGACCTTCTGACTCCAGCCCTCAGTCTTCAGATACTACCTGAGAGCCGGTCCAAGATGGCATAAACTCCCTATGGAGCTGAAGATGACAGTGAATTGAGTCTCCTGCCTCAGCCTCCTTGATGCTTCATTAATTACCATATACCACCACAGCTGGCCACAGCTCTGGATTCCATAGGGACATGCCGGTCTCCAGCTATGACTGGGGACCCAGATACATGACTTTATAATACCCTCAGAAAAACCTAGAGGTGGAAGACGGACCCCTGACCATTCCCACCACCCCAGAAGTCAACTGTGGAGCATGGCATCAAAGCCAGGACAAATCACAAGCACACACGTGGGGAGTTTCAAAGACTGTTGAGTCCCGGTGGACGTACACGTGTGAAGAAACCCTGACACTCTCTGCAGGCTCCTGGGGCCAGGGCTCTAGGAAGCCCATTCCTTCCCGGCTCAAAGCCCAGGGTGGTTCCCAAGCAAGGATGGCCCCAGGCTGGAGAAGTCCTGTTTCCAGGCTTAGGCTGCTGTTACCCCTCGGCATGGCCGGGTGACAGCCAGGACTGTGGCTGGGGAGCCACGGGCGGCTTCTCAAGGGCTCACTCCCCGCTGTGCCTGGCTTTTCCGGTCATCCGGCGGCGGCGCTGAGTCTTGCTGGTACGTGTGGCACTGGGTGGTTTCTTGGTGGAGTCCTGGGCCCGCCGAGGGTGTTTCCTCTTCACCTTCTTCCGACTGTGTGCGTGCAGTGTGGCTGTGAGGGAGGAGATGCTACGGGGAAAATGGAGGCAGGTGAGGCCAGGGCCTTGGCTTCCCCTTGAGACTCAGGCAAGGGCGGGAGGCTGGGGAGTGATCACTGGACTCACGGGTGAGAAGCTGGGACAAGGTCCAAACACATTGCAAACTCTGCCTGGTCTGGCTCCACAGAGCCTGACACCCCCCCACCCCCACCCCCAAACCTCCAGGGTAGGGTAGCTCCACATGCCTAGCCACTACTGCCAGACAGGACCCAGCAACTACAAGCCAGAGCTCACCGCTGAGATAGCAGGGGATCTTTGGACTTCCTGGGCAAGGCTTTTGTTGGCTTCTCCATGGATGACACCTCCTCCTGGGAACCATCCAGGTCCCCTTGCTAGAGAAACAAAGGACAGGGACTGTTACAGGGTGTGGATAGTCATGCTGAGCAGTCCTAACCTGACCTGAAAGGCCTGATGAGGGCTCAGAGAAGGCTCTGTGCAGAGTACACTGTGTATGTCTGTCCTGTTCAGCCTTAATTGTCAACTGGACACATTCTAGAGTCATCTGAGAGAAGCCCCATTTGAGAAACTGCCTAGATCAAATTGGTCTATGGGAAAGACCAAGCCCACACTGGGTGGCATCATTCCTTAAGCATGGATTCCTGGGCTGTATAAAAAAGCTAGTTAGCCGGGCGGTGGTGGCGCACGCCTTTAATCCCAGCACTCAGGAGGCAGAGGTAGGCGGATCTCTGTGAGTTCAAGGCCAGCCTGGGCTACCAAGTGAGTTTCAGGAAAGGCGCAAAACTACACAGAGAAACCCTGTCTCAAAAAACCAAAAAAAAAAAAAAGCTAGTTAAGGGGCTGGAGAGATGGCTCAGGGGTTAAGAGCACTGGCTGCTCTTCCAAAGAACCACATGATGACTCACAACCATCTATAGTGAGATCTGGTGCCCTCTTCTGGCATGCAAGCATATGTGCAGGCAGAACACTGTATGCATAATAAATAAACCTTAAAAAAAAAAAAAAAAAGCTAGTTAAGCATGAAGTAGTGAGCGAGTCATTCACCAAGAGCGACATCAGCAAGATAACAAGACACAATGTCAAGCCTTAAGGAAGGACGAGCATAAAGGAGGTAATCGGGAGTTAGTCCGGCCGTGGCTTCCCAGGATGTAGACACTGCAGCACAGAGCGGGAACTTTTCCCCTTTGAGAGAGGGGCCCAGGCTGGGCTTGAACTAATGACTCTCCTGCCTTCACGCCCTCGTGTGCTCCCGTGCCTGGAAATGTGTAGGACTGTGTTCTGCTGTTTTTGTGATGTTGGGGATTGGACCTAAGGTCTCACATTCTGAGCAGGCTGCATCCTCAGCCCAGAAATGCACTTTATACTCTAACTCTCTGGGCAGTTGGAGTCGACCAGCTGCAGAATGAAAAGAAAACATCTGGAAGGAAACATGGTGTCTGTGCTGAGTATAGATTTGTCTTTTTTGTTTGTTTTCGATTTTTACATCTATTTGATGTGTATGAACACAAAGCTTGCATGTATATCTATACACCGCGTGCATGCCTGGTGCTTGCAGAGGTCAGAAGTGTCAGATGCCCTGGAACTGGAATTATAGACGGTTGTGAGCCACCATGTGGGTGCTGGGAATTGAACCTGGGTCTTCTCTAAGAGCAGAAAGTGTTCTTAACCGCTGAGCCATCTTTCCAGGACCCAGACTCACGTTACTCTTTGAACACTGCCCTGTAACAACAACTCAGACAGGACTTCCAGGGAATTCAGATTTTGTTTTTGTATTATTTAGTGTACATGTGTTGGGGTGTGTGTGTGTGTGATGTGTACAGGAGGTCAGAGGATAAGCTGTAGGAGCCAGCTGTGGAACTCAGGACGTGGAAGCACCTTCACCCCCAAGCTCTCTCACTGGCCTGGCATTCAGCTTTCTAAGTAACTGGGGAATGATTTAAAGGACAGGGGAGGACCTGCCCAGGTTCCATGTAAATGTCACAGCGTTTTATTCAAAAGACTTGAGCACTGCAGACCTGAAGGGAGCCTGTTCTAGATTTTCCTACACAAGCCTCAGGCACAGCTTTAAGTGGAGCAGGAGCTTTGGTCCCTTACCGGGCTGCTGCTGTTCTCAATTAGTGAACAAGTGACTGAGGATGCACAGCCCACACTGCAACCTCATTGTCCCTGCACACACACACACGCCATAGTACGCTGCTTGTCACACAGGCTGGGGTCCATCTAGGTGGTCTGCTGAGCACTTACTAAGTAAGGTTGAGCTCAGTACCAAGGGCCTCACCCCTGCATCCTCAGTTACTGGCCCCTGTATCCAGGCAACACTCAACTGACTGATGGGCTGAGCCATTCAAGAGAGCTGCCAGGGACACACTTCCAGGAGCAGCCCCCACAGACCAATCTACCGCTTCTTCCTCAGGGCTGTCCTGGGACCTACCTCAGGCAGGGGCAGACCTAGCAGCCGGGCCCCTGAGAGGTCCAGGTCACTGATGGTGGTCACGGTAACTGTGTGATTGGGGTGGTCGTACTGCACGGACTCGGTCTTTGCTGTCACCAGCCGCTCCAGCTCATCCGCCTCCTCTGCAAGGTGAGCCCAGACCAGCCTTCAGCCCTGGCTCCGCCACCAGGCCGCAGCTCCCTCCCAGCCCTGCAGGGACGGGGACTGGCACGCCGAGTGCTTTTCTAGAGCCCGCCATATTCTTTCCTTACATCCCACCCACCCCCCTCCCGCCCCACTGTTTCTGCATCTACAGAGTGGTCCCGCGTCCCACCCACAGGTAAGTGCTGGAAATGACTTATCCTCTCGTCCCTTATGCTCCCAGCTCGTCCCTGCTTTGGAGAAACTGAGGGACGGCAAGAGCTGTCCCATGCCCAGGCTCTCTGCTCAGCCTCAGTGTACCGCATGGTTTGGGTCCCCTGGACCCTGGTCCACTTGCACTTCGACCATGCTTGGCCCCTACATCACCACCAAGATCTCTACGGCTAACAAAAATCACCCCGCATCCAGCTTTCTCCCCAGTCTCCCTTATCGCCACCAGGGGACACAGAAGCCCAGGCTCATGGGACGCTCTCCACACAAGACCTCGGTGGGGACTCACCTAGCGCCTCCTCTCTTTCTGCCAGCATCTTCAGGTATTCCTGGTGGCGCTGAAGTCGAAAGGAAGATGGTGATGGTGTTCATTGTTAACCTGACAGAATCTGGGATGGCCTGGGAGATGGGCCTCTGAGCACACCTATGGGATGTTATCTTGAGGTGGGAAGACCCGCCCACTCTGGGCGGTGCCATTCCCTGGCTGGGATCCTGGGCTATATTAGTTAGAGAAAGAGAGCTGAACGGCCTTCATCACTCTGCTTCCTGATCCCGGATGTGATGGGACCAGCTGATTCAAGCTCCCGCCGCCTTGATCCGCCTGCCACAAGGGACTGTGCCCTTGAGCTGAAGGCCAGAATAAACCCTTATTCCCCTGAGCTGCCTTTGTCAAGAGTTGTTTTTCCTTTTATCATGGTCAGAGAAAAAGACACCAAAACGGGAAGGCACACAGTGAGAACGGCTGTTCAGTTCAACAGGCAACAGCCCCGTTCGCTTCCATGGTGTGGGACCATGGTTCCTAGAGCAAACTCAAGAGGAGACTCATCCTTCTCACACACACACACACACACACACACACACACACACACATACACACACACCCCGGTGTCTACCTGTGCAGACAGCACCAGCCATCTCACACACCCTCTGCTCTGCCCCGTAGCTGCCTCCATCAGACCTATTCAACGCTGGCTGCCCCTCCCCTGGGAGTTGGGCCCCCCACCCCTCCAAACCCCGCCCCCCCTCCGCACCTCACCTCTTCCCGGAGCTTCTTCTGCTCCTGCTTCAGTCGGTGCTTTATCTCCTCGATGGCCGCCTTCTTCCGCTCCACCTTCCGTTTGTGGAAGCCTGTCAGGTACTCCCTGCAGGAAGGAAGCCGGGGAGAGTCAGGAGGAGCCATGAGGAGAGAAGAGCCAGGCTCCTATCCCACCCACTAACCCATTCTATGCTCTCCACTGCTTGTCCTTATTTGACAGATAAGGACACTGCGGGAAACCAGGGTGCTCACCCAAGGTCACAGAGAACACGGTTAGGAGGCATTCAATGACAAGGGGACCTTACAAGAAACGTGTTGCTAGTCCTGGCTAGACCATCACAGTGTGCTTACATATAATCCCTAGGTGGTATAACCTACCACACACCGACGCTGTAAGGGACCAGCCTCATTACACGCTCCATCATTGACCACAACATCGCCATACAATGTGCGACGGAAGGCTGCTTTTTCCCAGGCTTCTTTCTGCAGGGCACCTACTCCACCTGTGTTTCTTCCCCCTTGGTGGGGACACATGAGGTGGCAGAGCCGGAGCGAGTGGGGGCTGCTTCCGCACTGGTAGGTGTCACTCTAGTGGGGCTTTCCAAGAACGCCTTCACCCAGACCCCAAAACTCTTTCATTGAACCAACCAACACCCAGTCTTCAATGACATCTGACCCCTAAGCCCACCGGTGAGGTGGGACCTTGGGGTGGCCCCCCCACCTTCCCGACTCTTCTTCCTCCTCCTATCTGATCCCCGCTCTGTAGCCGGTTTTGCTGTTGTACTGGAGGGTTAAACCTAAACTAACTAGTTTACATTGCTTTGGAGACAGGGACGCTATAAATCGCCCAGGCTTGGGTCTTGAACTCTCTCTGTAGCCCTTGACTTTGCAATCCCCCTGCCTCAGCATCCCGGGTGGCTGGCTAAGACCACAGGTCTACACCACCAGGCCTGGCCATTGCAGTTCCCCTTTGGTGCGCTGCATGAGAGCTTTCGCAGACTCACTACAGCGTGCCATTTGTCCACGGTGACACCCCAGCGCCGAGGCTCAGCCTCCGGGGCCCAAGCTTGGTTGGGACACAGCATGATGAGTTAATGAATGAACATAAACCGCTCTCCTCCCATTCGCTCGTCGTTCGTCGACGACGACCGGGAGCCGGCGGTGTGCAGGGGCCATGGACCCGGGCTGCACAGCCCTGCGCACCCCAGAACCAGCGAGGGGAGAGCGGGCGACTCCACCCCACCAGGCGGGGAAAGCGGGAGGTCCAGGGGCGGGGCCGGAAGGACTCTCTGCGTGAACGTGCGCGCCCTGGGCCTGGCCAGGCCTCTCCCGGCAGCCCGACGGGAATCCGGTCCGACCCTGCCACTCACCGCCGCTTCTCTTCATCGAAGTTGAGGACGAGCCGGGGCCTCCGGTCATCTCCATCTCGCTTCTTCTTCTTCTTGTTGCGGCCCATAACTGGGAAGCTAGCTTCCGGTAGCGTGGCTGCCGCTAGCCTAAAACACTTCCGAGTGTAACAGTGTCAGGTTTCCGGAAGAGCGCGCTTAGTGGCCTGGCTCCACGGTTCCGCCGACTTGTCTCCGCCTTTTAAAGGAGCCTCCCATCCTGTCTCGCACAGCTTTGCGTCAGGTCAGGTCTGAACTGACCGAGTCTCCCAGAATGGCTTCAGTGAGAACTCGGCTCCCCGATTCCATCACCTAGCCTGGCCCTAACAGGAGCACAATATGGAGTTTTTCATGAATGACTGAAAACTACTGGTCCTAGACGGGCGGTAGTGGCACACGCCTTTAATCCCAGCAGAGGCAGGAGGATCTCTGTGAGTTCGAGGCCAGCCTGATCTACAGAGAAACCCTGTCTCGAAAAAACCAAAACCAAACAAAACAAAACTGATCCTAATTGAGTTCTGATATCAACTCTTTGGTGATTTCCATGAGCGAGGGAAACTACTTGAATTCAAATACTGGTACTCATCTACCGGCTGCGTGGCCGTGGAGCGACTGCCTTTTTTTGCTTTTTTAAGATTAAAACAACAAGGCGGTGGTGACACACACCTTTAACCCCAGCAATTGGCAGGCAGATGTCTATGAGTTCGAGGCAGGCCTGGTCTACATTATAAGTTCCAGGTCAGCCCGAGCAGAAATGCATAAAAGAAAGACCCTGTCTCAAAAAAAAAATTTTTTTTTAAAAAGAACAAACAACCACCTGAGTGAATTTATGTGTACCACATGAGTGATGTACTTGCAAGTCCAGAAGAGGGTATCAGATCCCCTGCACGTAGAGTTACAGATGGTTGTGAGTTACCGCGTGAGTGCTGGGAATCAAACCCAGGTCCTCTGCAAGATAAGTCAGAGCTTTAGCTATTGAGCCATCTCAACATTGCTGCTCCACCCCCCACTGCCTTTTTCTTTGTGCCTCACTTACCTATCTATAAAGTACAGATGATTGTAGGGACTTTGCAGGGTTATTGCAAAGCAGTGGTCCTAGAACTTTGGTGTGCACTAGACGTCCTAGCAGGCTTGCTGAAATCCAGATCCAGGGCTTGTGGTTCAGCACATTTGGACAGAATATCCATTTCCAGCACATTCTCGGATGGCCCCGAATACTGCTCCTGCAGGCAACACACTTTGAGACCCATGACCGTGGTGGGATGAGTGAGTGGTGTCAGGAGTGTGTCACACAGTGCTTGGCCACACTCAGGTGTGGTGCACAAGCCACATCCAGCTATGTGCCTCAGTTTCCCCAAGTATGGAAAGGGAGTTTAACAACACGCCTTCTGCTAACCACCACAAGGGTTTGAATTTGAAGCATTGGGTAAGTAACACCGGACAGGGGTCTTAGCGACTCCGTTATCCAGTAGACTTCCCCCATTCTCAAGGCTATGCCCGTTGGGTCCTGTCAAGCCCTGTGCTGGGTGCTGAAGACGTGGCTGATGCTCTTGGCTGTACGGACTGACCCTGTGGTCAAGTCTGTGATCACCATAGTGCAGGGGATGAAGCCTCTGCCGGAAGGAGAAGCTCGGGACGTTGCAGGAGGCCAGGATTGTCTCCAGCAGTGTGGAGGGCGGGGAGGGGCCCAGAGCAGGTGATGAAACACAGGGTAACAGACAAAAACCAGGCTCTTGGGATCCAGTCCTCGTCCAGACAGAAGCCCAGAGAGCCAGTAGTGAATGCCTACCGTGGGCCAGGCACACAGAGAGGCAAGCTGTCACTTAAGAAAGGGCTGTGCTTGCTGAGTGTGGTGGCACACACCTTTAATTCCAGTACTCAGGAGGCAGAGCCAGGCGGATCTCTGTGAGTTCGAGGCCAGCCTGGTCTTCCGGGTGAGTTCTAGAACAGCCAGCTACACAGAGAAACCCTGTCTCAAAAAGCAAAAACAAAAACAAAACAAAACAAGAGGGAGGAAGAGGACTGAGCTCAAACATGAGCCTGATGCTCTGTCTTTGTTGTCCCTTCCCAGCTCCCTGGCCACTCCCCCAGGAGCTAAGGTGTCTGCTTTAGAAAGGCAGGATGCAGACTGTAAGGATGATTTTTGGAAGGAGCCTCACTTACAGTAGGCATGACACCCCATAGATGTCGGATTCCTCCCATAAGGGTCCCCCACTTGGGGACTCCATGTTGGATGCTGAGAAGAAGTTGTCTTCAAAGTGGGGAGTCCCCA